TTATGATTTGTTCCAGTTCTGTGAAATATGTCCTGGGTAATTTGATAGGGATTGCATTAAATCTGTGGATTGCCTTGGGCAGTGTAACCATTTTAACAATATTGATTCTTCCAATCTAGGAGTATGGGATATCTTTCCATTTTTTTAGGTCTTCTTTAATTTCCTTAATGTTTTATAGTTTTCCATGTATAAATCTTTCACCTCTTTGGTTAGATTTATTCGTAGGTATTTTATTACTTTGGGTGCTATTTTAAAGGGGATTGTTTCTTTACTTGTTCCATTGATTCATCATTAGTGTAAAGAAATGCAACTGATTTTTGTACATTAATCTTGTAACCTGCTACCTTGCTGAATTCTTTGATTATATCTAGTAGTTTTTGTGTGGACCTTTTAGGGTTTTCTATATATAGTATCACGTCATCTGCATATAGTGACACTTTGACCTCTTCTTTTCCAATTTGGATCCCTTTTATTTCTCTCTCTTGCCTGACTGCTGTGGCTAGGTCTCCCAAGACTATGCTGAATAGGAGTGGTGATAGTGGGCAGCCTTGTCTTGTCCCAGATTTTAGTGGGAAGCTTTTGAGTTTTTCACCGTTGAGAACTATGCTGGCTGTAGGTTTGTCATATATAGCTTTTATTATGTTGAGATATGTTCCCTCTATACCCACTTTGGTGAGTTTTTATCATAAATGGGTGTTGAATTTTATCAAGTACTTTTTCTGCATCTATTGAGATGATCATGTGGTTTCTGTCCTTTCTCTTGTTGATGTGATGTATTACACTGATTGATTTGCATACGTTGAACCACCCTTGTGTCCCTGGGATGAACCCCACTTGATCATGATGTATAATCTTTTTTATGTGCTGTTGGATTCTATTTGCGAATATTTTGGTGAGGATTTTGCATCTATGTTCATCAGTCATATTGGCCTATAATTCTCTTTTTTGGTAGTGTCTTTGCCTGGTTTTGGTATCAGGGTGATGGTGGCCTCATAAAATGAGTTTGGGAATATTCCCTCCTTTTCAATCTTCTGGAAGAGTTTGAGAAGGACTGGTATGAGTTCTTCTTTGTATTTTTGGTAGAATTCCCTGGTGAAGCCGTCTGGTGCTGGACTTTTATTTGTAGGGAGGTTTTTTATTGCTAATTCGATTTCATTTCTAGTGATCGGTTTGTTCAAGTGGTCAGTTTCTACTTGATTCAGTCTTGATGGACTGTATGTTTCCAGAAACTTGTCCATCTCCTCTAGGTTATCCATTTTGGTTCTATATAGTTTTTCATAATATTCTCATATGATATTCTGTATTTCTATGTTATTTGTTGTAATTTCTCCATTTTCCTTTCTTATTTTGCTTATTTGTGCTATTTTTAATTTGTGAGTTTCATCAGAGGTTTGTCAATTTTATTTCCTCTTTCCAAAAACCAGCTTTTTGTTTGATTTTTTCGATTGTTTTTTTTTAATCTCTATTTCCTCCCTGATCTTTATTATTTGCTTCCTTCTGTTCTTTTTTCTTGAGGAAGGCCTGTATCGCTATAAACTTCCCTCTTAGCACTGCCTTTGCTGTGTCCCATAAATTTTGTGTGGTTGTGTGTTGATTTTTTAAAAGGAGAAGAGCAGAAGTTCAATATATTCGACTAGATAGATGAATGTGTTTGTATAAATAATAGATAGACCTTAGAAATGTCTTTAACAAGAGGGTAGGGCATTTTGTTGTTATAAAAACAAAGCCCTTGTAAATAATTTATGTGCCTTTGAAAAACAAAGTAGACAAATTTTCCTTGATTCTTTCAAAATCTAAGCAATAATTATGATCATACACTGTATTGTTATTTGAACTTAAAAAAAATTCCAAATGTAGTCAGTAGGAAACTATGGTATTGTATTCACTGTTCTGGATTCTGAAGACCTTAGAAGACTAGTGAAGTCCTTTGGGATTCACTTTCCAGAAGATAACACAATGACCAGGGTCACCTAATGTGGCTGTAAAGTCACTGTGTTTTCCACATTCTCTGTCTAGTCTTACGTGAGTAGAGAGCCATCCCTGCTGTCAGAGGATGCGCCCTCTTGCCCTAGGTTGGTCATCCCTGTGGGGAATCAGGTGTCAGCAGATTTGGGGCCCTGCAGGTGTTTGACAACAGCCTTTGCCACCTTCTGCTGATTTTACCCTTGTGAAGCAAGTCGTGGTTCTTCCTAGTCATGGTTTTGGCGCCTAAAGTACATCTCTCTGCTTCTTTTTTGAAACAGCATGCTGTAGTGAGACAGCAATGTATCTGGCTCTATTGTCTAACAGTGGTTTAGACATATTGATAGTTTGGAGAAGTGTTTAAAGGGTAACAACTTCAAAGGACTATAATTTGTTGCCTTACTGAAGAGTCTAGCCTTGAGGATCAGATGTAATTGACTCTCATTACCCTGGTCTTTGTTGTGAAAGAAACTTCTTTTATGTTTGATGTCATTTAAATCCCCTCTCAGGCGAGACTAATTTTGTAAGAACTTCAGAATTTCTTGACTCTAAATAGGAAAGGTAGAAATAACTGTTAAGTTACCATTGATCAGGCTCGGATTTAATAGAAAATTTCTAACAGTCACCTACTCAGACTCTTGATAGGGATTTAATCTTTCCGTTTTATTATTATATAAAAATAGGTTCCATTTGGTCAGAATCAAAACAGTTCCTAGTCTTAGAAATAGAGACTTTTCGTTGTCTAGGGAAGGTCACAAATTGAAACAGATGCCTATAACTTAACCTTTATAAAACAGCTGAGTGTTCCATGATCTTCTGTAGGTCAAAAAATGTGTTTCTAATGGTAAAGGAAACATTAGAAAATAATGTATTTTGATACAAGAGAATCATGGTGTGGTTGGATATACTTTTAATGTACAATGTACATTACTTGTACAAGTCCATATACTTGTATATTATTTATACAAGTACAAGTCCATATACTTGTTAATGCACAGTGGCAGATTGTTTTAAAAAGGGATGGATGTGTGTTTGATGAAAATGCAAATTGATGTAACTACAAGGCCCTAGTTTTCATGATCCATTTTAGAAATGCTTAGACATTAGGTTATTTTGGTAAGAGAAAAAAACATTTTTATATGTGATAGAATTTGAGATGTGACCAGAAATACTAATCTTACCTTTGAGTCACGAAAAAAAAGTTGTGTTGAAAAAGTTTAAAGCACCTCCTTGGATCTCGAAAGGAACTGTTAACTTTGAATACTTTTGACTGTGAATTTTAACATTTATAATAATCTTAGAAGAAATACTTGAACATATGTTGATATTTAGTTGCTAAATAGTTTAGAAACATTTATGAAATGCTAAATGCTAAATTGACTTCTGATTTAAGTTCCATTGATTAGGCAGATCATTTCCATAATTTATAATTCCCAGAAGAAACTTAAGGAAAAGGGGGAAAATATGTATTGAGGGAAATTCTGGTTGTAGTCCGTATTTTCAGACTTCTTTTTAAGTTGTAGAACTCTTTCTTGAAGAGACTTTAATGTGTAAACGTGGAGAAAGTGAGGAAGAAGCAGCAGGGAGCCTCCCTGGGCTCTGAGCGGCAGCCCTTCCGGGCGCGCTGCCCTCCCGCTCCGGCGGGGCCGCGGGGCCGCACGGGGACTGACAGTTTCTGTTTGCTCCAAGGGGCTATCAGCAGCAGGACGCCCACGAGTTCATGCGCTACCTGCTCGACCACCTGCACTTGGAACTCCAGGGCGGTTTCAACGGGATTTCCCGCTCAGCAATTCTGCAGGAGAATTCTGCTCTGTCTGCAAGTAACAAATGTTGCATGTAAGATTTGGCTTCCTTTTGCTTTCTAGGAAGACTTCAGGCATTCCTATGGCTGTTATTGTTTATTGCATTTGTAATGGACAGCGGAGAGTGTTCCTGGACCTCAGCTGAAACTTTTGCGCACTTGGAACTTTGTGACCAAGTGGACTAGCACATGCCTCCTGCTTCTAGACCAGAGGCTTCTTGTATTTATTTGCATCTTGTGGTAGCTAGGATTGTTATTTACTATAAATTACTTTAGTTTATATACAATTTATGCACTTAAAAGTTTTCCTCCAAATGTACTGAATAGTGGGTAGGAGACAATTTTCATATACTGAAATAATTTGTTCACTAATAACGAAGGCTTACAATATTTTGAATGTGAATTTTCCTAAAGCCTCATTTTGGACTTATATTTGCCTAGAATATGTCTGTTTTTAGTCAAATTGAGGCATTTGTAAGTTTTCAGAATTCTTTCTTTCCTCTCTATATGAACAAAACAGACCTTTTAGTTAGCTTTCCCAGGTACTAAGTCCCCCAAATGTACATTGAGATCAGAATGTTTGTTTTGCTTGAGGAAGGGATAGCTGACTTGTATTTCAGCTTGGATTTTGGTTAATTGTAGTCTCCTATTGCTCAGATTTTTTTTTTTAAAGTTTTATATTGACTTGTGCAGGAAAGGAGTGTGTAAGACAGACTCCCCAAAGAAAGAGCAAAAAGAGTAAGTAATACACAGGGGAGGCTGCAGTATTACTGCCTGGCTGTCCGCAAACCGGATTTCGTGTGAGATGGGGCTTTTTCATCACAGAGCAGTCTCACAGCGACCCTGGCCTTGTCAGCAGCGCCAAGAACTGCCTGCTTCTTCACATGCTTGGCCCTCCAGCTCCCTGTGGCTGAGATTCGCATTAGACTCCAGTACAGAAGGGAAGGGGCCTGTGACCTGGGGGCACTGTTCTTGCTGCCAGCACCAAGTTACACATGGCAGTCAGTGAAAACTTCCGCTCTGTACCTGATGCTGGTGCTTCAGGCCCAGGGGAGATTAGGCTGGGTTCTATCACGGACAGTCCGTGTGAAGTGTGTGGGGGGGGTCTTCATTATTTGACACCCAGGTGCCCTGATGGAGTGAGCGTGTGACACTCACAAGGTATTCCTTCAGTAACTAATGAGTTTTCAGTATTAACTCTTTGTAATATTTTCAAGAATCGTAGTTGTACATTCCTTTAGTGAGTTAGGAACATAAATTAATAACATTCAAAATTCAGGTTTCCTTATAATTTCTTAAATTCACTAGATATATTTCAGGATCAGGATTGTATTTGCTAAAACTACAAAATTTATTTACTTGTATAAACACATCCAACCCTACTGAAGGTGGGGGTGACAGACATATATGGCAGATGGGTTTTATGAATATGTAGAAAATCATTAGTGCCAATAAAAAGGACCTTCACAGCATAACAGCCTGTGCAGGTAGCCAGTATGTAAACACTTAGTGTTCAGTATAACAAATAGAACAGCGACTTTGAAATTGCAAATGTTGTTTTAAGTCATTGTATACCTAAACTTAATGTCATACACATCACATAGCCAAGACTTGATTAATGTCTTTTTTTTCAGAGGAAGAAGTTCTACAGGAAGAAGTACATTGAGTTTAAATGTACTGTTTGTAATAAGGCAGTTTCCATTTTAATGAAAGGCAGCCGTGTATGTGAATGTCAGTATGAACGGATCAGGCCTTTTATTTCCAGCTGATTTTTTAAAAATGTGCCCCTTGTTTATGACAGGCATTAAATCTAAAACCTGAAATAGCCACTATATCCTGTAACTCCTAATGTATCCTCCCTTTTTAATTAACTAAAGCCATATATCTTATGAACAACTTTTAAGAAAAAAAGCCATTATATTTCTTCTGCCAGTAAGGAAGGAAGCCCTTTCCTAGAAGAGGAAGCAAACTTTAAAAAGAAGAGAATTGCTTGGGTAGGTTTTGTCTATCTCTGCAGTAGGTTTAACTTGGAGCAACTCACAGTACAGTTCAGTGTGCTGGAAGTGTTACTGATGGCAAGTACAGAAACCACCTCAAATTGCTGTTAAGAAAAAAGAGCAATTCACAGGCCTAAGTAACTGCAGAAGTGCCGTCACGTGTGTTAGCACACTAGGTGAGGGTATGTGTCTGCTGCAGTCTTGTTAACGAAGCACGCAAATGAAGCAGCCTCAGTATCCACTAATATCGGTTCAGTTCAGAGAAGGAGCACACTGTTAGGAGCAGGTGCTCATATCAGACCAGCTGTGTGAACTTGGACCAGGTTACTTAACCTTTGAACCTCAGCTTCCTGGTCTGAGAAATGGGGATAATGGTGGAATTATAATAGTGTTTTAAGTGAGCTTTTTAAAAGGCTTGTTGACAGTAACACCTGGCACTCCAACTGTAAACTGATACCTCCATCAGTAATTACTAAATATGTATTAAATTTGTTTACCCCCGCCCCAAATCTGACCATCTCAAAAATCTAAAACCACCTTTGATGGAAGTTGTTGTTCAGAGTAAAGTGAGAGAGCTGCCTGAGTACTAGGAGGCTTTGCAAAGGCTGCAGTGTACAGCCCCCTCTTTCCTGAGGGTACGCTTGGGAAGAAAGGGGCCCGCCTGCCCTGAGAGCAGGCATGTGCGTGATCTGCTTGTTAGTAACGGCAAGCGCTCAGTGTTGCTCGTGGAGAAAGTGGTGAGACTGAAAGAGGGCTGGGGGGAGGCCAGGCAGTGGCTTAAACCTTTTATTTCGTATACATCTATTAGAGCTTTGAAGGTTTTGTGTTTTTAATACTTAAATGAATATATATGATGTATATGTCCCCCCAAAGGGAGTCACCTGTAGGAGCTCTTAGACACATTTAGGTTTTTTGCTGAGTTTCCTGTGTGGTGATTTTCTTTAGAAATGGAGCATCTACAGTCGTCACGGCGATATTTGGAGGCATTCTCCAAAATGAAGTTAACTGCCTCATATGTGGGACAGAATCTAGAAAGTTTGATCCATTCCTAGGTAAGGCATATTTTGCATCTGGATGCGTGATCGTGTATTAAAATAGTAACTATAAAGTTTCCTTTGAAAATGAAGACAGTAAAGAGATAAATGTTAAAAAATAATTTCAAAAACTGATGTATTTTGAGTGTAGTTATAAGCTTTTAACAGTCCTCTACTTTCCTTTCTTTTTAAGACCTTTCATTAGATATTCCAAGTCAGTTCAGAAGTAAGCGCTCTAAGAATCAAGAAAATGGACCAGTTTGTTCGTTACGAGGTAAAGATACTTTAACGGTCTAGAATTCGTTTCCCCCCTTGAGTAGCTGGACAGATTTCTAAGCTCCATCCACATGTGCTGTGTTGTTAACTGTTCTGATGAATTTGTGTTGTAACTTAACAAAAGTGAAACCTGAGTGTCGCTTTCAAGCCAACAAAAATCGATTTCGCAAGAATGCCTGCCAGAGATTTTAGGTCAAACTAAATATTTCTTACCTTTCTCCTCTTTATAAATACTAATTTTAAACTTAAAAGTCTATAGTAAAACTTTTTCTGATCTAGTGAAACACAGTTTATTCTCTGGATGTTCCACTAGAACACTTATAAAACTTTGCCAAATTACAGTGTCATTTAATCTGTTGTATGACTAATAATTTGAGAACTCTAGTGATGATACAGCTGTTGGTTAAGCCTGAGGCCTTGCTTTTAATTGCAAGATTTTTAAAATTCACATTTACGCTGAGAGATTTTTGAACAAACGTTTTCCCTTGATGAGTGTTAACTGCTTAGTCAAGGCAAAAGACCTGCCCGTGACCAACCACTAACATGACTATGTTTTCTCTTCATTCATAAAAAGAAACTAGGATAGAAAAAAGAAACAGGATCTAGCTTGCGTCCTCTCATTAAGCACCTCTGCACTGAAGGCAGATAACAGAATTCCTACCTTGAATTGCGTGTCCACTACAAGTAATTTTCTTTTCCTCTTCAACTGTTTTAGGAAGTTTTGTCATAATGATTAATAAACATATAATATCTTTTCTTAGCAAATAGAAGATTCTGTTGATCTAGAACTGCACGGTCCAGTATGACAACCGTGAGTCACATGTGCCTATTAAAACTGAAAACTGGGCTGCCCAGTTACACTAGCCACATTTAGAGTGCTCGGTAACCACGGGCGGCTAGTGGCTGCTGTACCGATCAGCACAGACGCAGGGCGTTTCCATTGCTGCTCAGGGTTCTGTTGGACAGCGCTGCTCTGGAATCAAGTTACCCTGCAAAATGTACCTGAATACACTTTGTAGATGCTTTTCGTGTGTTCCACACCTATCCAACAGTGTTGACTGTCTCTTTTGTACAGAAGTACAGAAGAAATTTAAGGAAGCCCCCATCCACTCCACTTCCCCCTAAAATATGTGGCTACAGTATGTGTCTCCAAAGCTCTTCTTTGGCCTATTTGAGATTAAGAAAATAGCACAAAGTAGCAAAAGTCACCACTTTCCCTTTATATTTATGGCACATGAATATAGGCTAACTGAATCATAAAACAAAGATTTGATCATTGAGAGGGGAAGTCAGTGAAACTATATAAATATAATTGGATTGTCAGACTTGATTTTTGTTTTGTTAAAGAGCTTACTGTCAGCTTTGAAAAGTGTATGATAGGGTCTGGTAATGCTTCTTTCTCTTTTTGTTTACCACTAGTATCAATTAAGAGCTCTGTTTTTTTCTTGGACAATGCAGTGTGTGATGAATTAGAGTTGACTGATGTCCATTTCTTTACTAAATGGGGATGGAGATGTGTGATTACCTGATAAGTCTTTTGCTTTTACGTGCTTATAAGTCTACTTGGCAAAAATTTCTTGTGTGCTTTTTTGGATCTGTAATTGTTAAGGTTAGCTTTCATTTAAAAAGCAAAGGTGATGGTGAGAAAGACCACTGGCATCTGAAATTATTTAACTTTGAAAGGATGCATAGTAAGACAGGTTAAGATAACCCCAGGTCTAAAGCCTAACAAAGGTGTATTCAAAAAGAAAAGAAAATGTCGCTTATTCTTACTAATATTATATAAATCAAAGACTCCTAGATAAAATGCTAGCAAATAGAATATAGTGCTGTACTAAAGCAATGGAGACCAAGTAGGATCTATTCCAATGATGCAAGACTGATTTAATCAGTAATGGATTTGGAATTTTATCAAAATCTATTTGGGCATTTTAATTTTTCTTCTCCCAAAAAATCATACTAATATTAGAAGAAAAAAAGTGCTGTTATTATAGAAATAGACATGGATTATCCATGTCATAACTACTAGTGGAGCACTAATGACTTTCCATTACAGTCAGGAATCTGAGTGAGGGACGAGGCAATAGATGAGGAAAAGAACCAAGAATAAATACTGAAGAGGAAAGACCAAGGTATCGACACACCTAGAACGTTTCAAGAGGGTCAGCTGGAAGTGGGGAGGAATGTGTCACAGTAGCTGTCTCTGGAGAGCAGGGCTGAGCAGGAGGTCTGCCTTTCCAGCCTTCAATTAAAAATTAAATGCAGATACTAATTTGGTAAATAAGTTAACATGGAGCTAAAAAGTAAAGTTTAGTCAGATGGCCAAATGGAAAATAAATAGGCAAAACAATTGCTTTCCTGTATATAGCAAAGGATCCTATTCGCAGTTGCAGTGAAAGCTCAGAGTACTTAATATAGTTAATGAGAACTATGCAAGACCCCGATGAACAAATTATAAAGCGTTACAGGACAGACAGAGCCATGGCATGTTCTTGGGTGAGAAGACCCAACATGACAGAGATGTCAGTTTTCCCCAAAATTACTCCCTAAACTTATTCTAGTTACTTAAGCATTTCTTCCATACACAGATATTCTTAAGAGAGACTAAAAAGGTTTTAAAACAAACATAATGGAGCAGGGCAGAGATGAAGCAAGTCATGGCCTAGAAGTACTAAAGCAGCAGGTGCTGAGCAGGAATGTGTAGGTCGGGATGTGTTATATGGCAAAGGAAGAATTTCAAATCAGTGGAGGAAAGAAGAAAGTAGTCAATAAATGGTATTACTGTAAATGACAATTTATGTGGGAAACATGAATTTTGTCCCTAACTCATATCTTCCCAAAGTAGTTAGAGGTTTCGGGATTTAGTGTGAAAAATGAAACCACAGGGACATTATAGGAAAACATCATCTTTTTGATCGTGTTGTAGGAGGGCGATCCTTCCAAGTATATCACCAAGGCCAGAAACTCATAAATTTAACTGTATAATGGTAAACGATGCCATAAACAAAAGTACAAAAAGATGATAAACTTGAAACAAAAATTTGTAATACATATATGAAAAAGGAGGAAAAATGCATGTGCTCAATTTACATCTGAAGAAAATAAGTGTCACTTATTCAAGAAAGTGTAAGTGAAGCAAAACTGGTCAAAACGATACAGATGAATCCATCGTTAGTGAGTTTTGGGAAGTGGGCGTGCTCATACTGATGGAGTGTAGGCTGGTACAACTGTTTTCAGAGGGTGGTGGTCACCATTTTTAACAGGCGTTTTTTTTTTTAGACATAGTCGTTTCACTTGTGAATGTGGACAGTAACGTATATAAAAGGTATTCATGGAAACAGTGTCCACCAGTAGGGCCCTGGTTTAGTATCTTGTGGCGTTTAAGAAAGATAAAACTGATCAACAGCTAGGCCACAGAAAGGTAGGTATAAAATACTGTAGAGCAAAAAACACTATCCATGGAAGTATGAACAGAAACTCCATGAATTCTACCATTTGTATAAGGGTTTTAAAAAAATATGTGCATTAAAATCCTTGAGCAGCATACGCCTTCTGTACACCATGGCACATGTATATTGTTTATTCCCCTCATGAAATACAGTCAAATACAAATGAAAAAGTTAAGCAGTTTCCTCAGATCCTTCACGAGAGACGTGAAGGTACGTAGAGAAAAAACAAAGCTGGGCTGAGATTTGGGTGCTGGGTGCCTAGGGGACTGTCCACTGGCCACCTGACACTTCTACATATGAGCTCTCAAGTGAGGTTCATATTCGTGATGCTGCAAAATATTTAAGTAATACATTTCAAGACCATTCAGACAGTGAAAATGGCAAGTGTCAAATCTGTGAATGTCAAGGTGTTGTATCTAGACAGTCTTCCTTTTAAAGAAGTGTTTATGTGTATATGTTTACATCAAAGAAGGAAAAACCTTTCTGTGTGTATGGTATAACTCAGGGACAAATTAGAAGAGCATAAAGAGTAAAATAAACATCCTTTATAATCCTGTAAGGATAATTGTATGTAATAATAAAGCTTGCAGTGAAGGCCTGTGGAAGCAGATCTGTGTTCTGGGCAATGGTAAGGGGTTAAAGTCCTCCTCCTGCCCCCTTCCGTTTTGGGAGTCATAGCCACAGCAGTCAGAAGGAAAAAAAAAAAAAGAAATCCAAATTGGAAACAAAGAAGTAAAGCTGTCACTGTTTGCAAAGGACATGATGCTATACATAGAAAACCCTACAGAAGCAACATGAAAGCTACTAGAACTCATCGATGAGCTTGGTGAAGTTGCAGGATAGAAAATCTATCCTACACTTTCTATACACTACCAATGAAATAGCAGAAAAATAAATTAAGGAAACAATACCATTTAACATTGCACCAAAAATAAAATACCTAGCAATGAAGGTACCCAAGGACACAAAAGACCTGTACTCCAAAAACTGTAAGATGCTGATAAAAGAAACTGAAGGTGACATTAACAAACGGAAAGATATACCATGTTCTTGAGTTGGAAGAATCAATATTGTTAAAATAGCCATACTACCCAAGGCAATCTATAGATTCAGTGCAATCCGTATCAAATTACCAATGACATTTTTCATAGACCTGGAACAAAAGAATGTTAAAATTTGTGTGGAAACACAAAAGACCCCAAAGAGCCAAAACCATCTTGGAAAAGAACAGAGCTGGGGGAATCATGCTCCCTGACCTCAGACTATGCTACAAAGCTACAGCAAACAAAACGTGGCACTGGTACTGGCACAGAAACAGACACAAAATCAATGGGACAGGACAGGAAGTCCAGAAATACACGCACACACAGATGGTCAGTTCATCTACGACAAAGGAGGCAGGAACATACAAGGGAGAAGAGAGTCTTTTCAAGAGGTGGTACTGGGGAAACTGGACAGCTACATGTAAAAGACTGAAATTAGAACATTTGCTAACACGCACAAAACCAAATTCAAAATGGATTAAAAGACTTAAATGTAAGACCAGATA